AATGGTCTAGATGGTACTGGGTCCTGCCATGAGGGCAGGGGACTGGACTCGATGACCTCTCAAGGTCCCTTCCAGTTCTAGTGTTCTATCATACCTGAGAACACTTCCAGGTCAGGGAAGATTTTATCTTCTTCCCCTCTTCTTATTTTCCATTGGAACCCACAGGATCAGGCTTTCTAGATACCACTTGTTGTTAACGAGGACCAGCCTGTCTCTGAAGCAGCTTCTCACTTAGTGGGCATGGTTGTTGTACTGGAAAGTACATCTTGAAGAACTTACCCTGTTCTAATGGTAGTGCTGGAGACAGAAGTGCAGATGTTACTCCAGTGTTGATGGGAAAAGAAAAGATTGTAACTGGTTTGATGTGCTGCTTTTACCCTCCAACAATTACAAAGAATGAGAATAGATGGGGGAAGCTGGAGGCCTTGCTCCCTGAGATACTATTCCTTTAATAACAGGCAAAAAAACTGAAGAAAGAGCAAGAGAATTTACAGAAACAGCAATGGGAGCTGGAGGAGCTGGAAGAAGAGAGGAAGCAAATGGAAGCATGCAGGAAAAAGTTGGAGCTTGGGTATGATATGATAGAATTCAGTGCTGTGGTTGTTGGGAGAAATTCACTCCTGTGTCCAGAGTAGTATGTACTGTATATGGGGATACTGTCAGTATGGGCTGTAAATGTTAATTTCCTTAATATTGTATAGCTAGCATTTCCAGAGCAATGGATGGGGTACTTTAAAAAGACATAGAAACAAATTGCAGTAATGCAGTAAGAACAACTCCCCCTACCATTGGCACTAATCATGGTTTGCTTTTCTGATTGATAACTAAGAACATGGTATCTTTCTTTTTTCCCAGTCGCTTTTTGAGACACCAGTATAATGCCCAACTAAAGAGACGTGCACAACAGATACAGCAGGAGCTGGTAAGACCAGAGATCATCTACTTGTTCTGGGCAGTACATTCTTCTTGCATTTAAAACTGCTTCTGGATGGTGATTACTATATTTGCATATCTGAGTGTCTGGAGCCTTATGAAGCTCATTTCATCGCCCCCTGGTCGCATTAGAGCAAGAAGCATTTAGGAATGAGGCAGAGGGTCTGTTATGAGCTTTCAGTCTGTGGTCAGTCTTGACACCTACATGTTTGTGCACATTGAAAATTTACTTGCAGCCTGGTCTGAAAACCTGCCATGTGTGCTACTTTTCTGGCTTTTCTCTAGGAGATGGACAGGCAAATACTATTAGCCCTTCTAGAAAAGGAAGATGAGGACCAACTCCTCCACTCTGCTAGACGGGAGCGGGCTGTTGCAGATGCCGCCTGGATGAAACATGTAATTGAGGAGCAGCTCCAGTTAGAAAAGGAGCGAGAGGCAGAATTGGAGACTATTTTTAGGTGAGTTTGAGACACCTCCTGTAGATTGTTGGAGAGCTTAAATGTGATGAAATGATCCCCTTCAAAAATCCTCTCTTCTAGGGTGGTAGAACTCTGTAAAGATTTCTTTGTTGATGCACACAGGTGAGGAAGTGATAACTAGAAGCCATCTTCTCTGGTTTCCTAGTTACTCTTGCAGTTTTAGAAGGAAAGACTGATTTAAGGCATAGAGCCCTTTGTAACAGAAGTAGTTAGGAAAAAGATCAAAGGTGTAGCCATATTAATCTGTAAATTTAAAAGTGAGTAGTCCTGTGGCACCTTAGAGACTAACCAAAATATATAGAATCATGAGCTTTCATGGGTAAAACCCACAACATTAAAAAGCTCATGATTCTATATATTTTGGTTAGTCTCTAAGGTGCCACAGGACTAATTGTTTTTTACAAGTAGATATGGTAGGTTTTAGGCCCTTTTCTACTTGTCCATCTTTTATGTTAAATGGTTTGCCATTCAGTCACAATATAGAGGTAACTCAAGGCTTTTAAGGTAAAAGGAAACAGTTCTTTTGACTGAAAAGCATCAAGACCTTCTGGTTCCTTTTCCTTGATAGAATGATTAGATACAGGGAGCAACTATTTTTAGAAGTCATGGATTGTCAATGGGGAACAAATTTGATCCTTGCCTATCCACCTAGACCAGGGCTACTCAACTTCGGAAGCCCTGGGGGCCACAGTGATACTCTCAGCACATGTTGAGTGCCACAACTTAAGTGTGGTTGCATATACAGTAATTCCTTATTTAACACTGTAGATACGTTTCAGAAAATGCGGGGTCAATTTTCCCACTGAAAATAATGGAAAAGGTGGGGGTTGCGTTTCAAGCGCACATGCGCTTGCAGCTGCAGCCTGCATTTGTTAGCGACTGGGACAGAAGGTTGGGGGAGAAAGGGAACTGGGTTATAGCAGGGAGGGGACGTGTTTGGCTCTGGGGAAGGGAAGGAAAGGACAGGGGAGAGGGCTTGCAGCTGGCGGCTGGGTTTCCCCAGCTGGCTGGTCACCGGCAGCTGTGCGGGGCTTCCTCTGCCTCCTTACAAAGCAGCGGAGGTTTGCCGCTCACCGTGCAGTTCCCCAGTGACCTCCTCTGGCCAGATGCCTTGAGTCCGGCCAGCGGGGGTCACTGGGGAATGGCGCTGCGAGCGGCAAACCTCTACTGGTTTGCAGGGAGGCCGGGAGAACCTCCAGAGGCAGGGGCAGCCCCATGCAGCTACTGGTGACTGGCCAGCTGGGGACACCCTGACATGAGTATCCCTGACATAGACTCTAGTCAGATTTTTCTGATTAACTTAAAACCAGCCTTTGATCATTCTGCTAATGGGCTTTGTGGCTTAAGTTGGACTTCTAAACTTGTGCTGCTTCCTTTATTTCTCAAGAGAGATGGCAGTTGAAAGGGAACCCCTGCAATCCCACAGGATTTCACCAAGTTTCCATGGAGTGTGAGGGGGAGCAGAATTTGGCTCCGTGAAAGCCAGAGGAGTCAGTATGACCCTTCACACCCAGACAAGTCAGGGTGCAGATACGCTTTTCCTGCTAAAATTGCTGTTGCAAAAGAGAAACTTTGAAAACTAAATTTTCTGGTAGGGCTCTAGTTTTCCATCCCTATTAGCAGGGCTCGACAAATGATTGAATCTACTCGTCTGTGGTGAGTAGATTTCAGCCGGTCACCCCGTTCACCGGCGGTGTGTGCATGCGCAGTGCGTTGCTGGAGAGCGGATTTCACCACCGTTTGTCAAGCCCTGCCTATTAGAGACAGGAGCACCCATAAGCATAATGTTTAGCACAGGGAAATTTCTTTCTGCAGTTCTCTTTATAGCAATAATGCTGGAGATCAACTCTCTCTCTTTCTCTCCACCCCCTTTAGGGAAGAAGCTAAACAAGTGTGGGAGAAAAGAGAAGAAGAATGGGAGAGAGAGAGGAAGGCCAGAGACAGACTGATGAATGAGGTGGTGCCTTCTCTAAAGCTATTGCTGATGTATAGTTTACATAGAATTGAAGCACAGTAAGGCGTGGTGGTTACCTCTGGGTGGGAGTGGGGGGAGAAAGATAGGCTTTTTTGCCAACCCTGTGTTCTTTCTTCAGACTGGATTAACAGTTAAGACTGAGATCTGTTTAGTTTGGTTTTTGAGTCTGGCCCCTTTCTATTTACCCAGTTTCTGTCCTTCATTTCCTGTCTTAATCCAAATAGGTCCTTGCTGGTAGAATGTGTCAGATCCAAGAGAAGATGGAGCTAAATCGACATGCCCAGGAGGAATCTGTAAAATACCGGGAACAACTAATTAGGGAGCTTGAGGAAGCAAAAGAGCTGACTCAGCTAGAGAAAGAGGAAGAGGAGGAACTAAAAACTGCTCGCAAACAAGAGCTGGAGGCCCAGGTAGAGACCAAGTCTTCATCAGACCCGCATCCCAGGTCATCTAGAATGATTTTACCAAATTTGCTTTGTTGAGCTGGTTTGGCTAGATTTTGTGCACAGTAAAATGCTCTTAGAATTTAGTGTCAGAACAAGGTTCTCAGTAGCTTTGTACTGAAACTTTCTGAATTTAGCTAGCAGAAGTAGAGTCTACACACACAGGTAGATGTAACTTGTTCTTAGTCAGGTAACCTCCCACCCTATACTAAGATATTCAGTTAAGATGACTAACACTGATTCAATGCTCAGAGTCCTGACCCTCGCTCCCTTTTGTTTAGTTTGGGTCTCTTTACCGGTGACCTCATCTCAATACTGTATCTTTAAATACTCAGCTTACCGAGCGCCATCTCCAGGAGCAGGATGAGTTACGCCGCCAGAGAGAGGAGGAGGAAGAGGCCAGGCTGGCAGAGCAACACTGTGAGAAGTTAGTGCAGCAAGAGGCCAAGCACATGACAGAACAGGGCTATCACAGGAAGGTAAGGAGCAGGATCCTTGGAATCATGCACGTCATCCACAGTAACAGTCCTTCCCTGCCTAATTCATGGTATTGGACGCTGAAGGTCAGGGTGCTGTGGAGTCACCAGCAGTTGCCTCTGAGCACAGTTCCTTTTGATCAAGGGCAAACGTTTCACCCCTAAAAATGCTTTGTTCTGTCATTGCTACAGGGCTGGGACAGGCACTGAAATTAATGGTTGGTGTCAATGTAATTTCTAATAACTCTCCCCAGAATAATCAAATGAAAAGGGACCATTATCTTTAGTTCAGATTGCTATGGTGTTCTCACATTCATTGCCCTTCCCTGTCTTCTACTGCTAGTCATTTTCTAAGTCTTTAGAGCAAGATCCTTCATAACTGCCTCAAAGTTTATTCCTACTTCTCAGACCATGCACTAGGGTAGGGATGGGCAATAATTTTTAAAAAGGGGCCACTTCATATATTTCTTAAGTGGCCCTGGGCTGCCCTGGAAGGCGCAGGGGCAGGAGACTTCTTGGGCCCCTCCCATTGGCCTTGATTGGTCTGGGTGTGAAGGAGCAGGTGCTGTCTCCGCCCCTCCCGACCCAGAGAATTGCCAACTATTTTAAAACAGCTAGAGGTTTCTTTTAGGTGGTGCAGTTGGGGGAGATCTTGCGTGCTTCTCCTGCCCCAGGCCAATTAGGGCCTGGGAGAGCACGCAACATCTCTTGCTGCCTGCCCCTGCCCTGCCAGGATAATGCGGTGGCTAGAGAGAGATGCAGGCTGTTTTAGAACAGCCAGGCAGTTCCCTTCTAATGCTCCATGCTCCTGGCGGGGGGAGGAAGGGGGATTTTGTGAACTCCCCCTTCCTGAGGTCTTGATTGGCCTGGGTGTGGGGGAACGGCAGAGTGGCTGTGGGCCGGATCCACCGTCATGGAGGCCCTTTGTCTACCCCTGCACTAAGGTGTGCCTGTCACCAGGTGATTCAGTGCTTCAGATGGCTGCTTCCAACATCTCCTTTCCTGTCTGAGAAACTGAGGAAGCTGCAACAGAAGCAGGACCCTGTTAGTATTCTGGCAGAAGGAAGGCTGCATTTGACAAACTGGTTTTGGAAAAAGTTTCTTCCAAACACGCAAAGTGGTTTTATTCTTGTCCCTTTACCATAGCAGTGATGGTAAGCTTCAGCATCTTCTCATTGCTCAGCACAGCTTTGGGGAAATGACTGTCCAGATCACTGGTGTCTTTTCATGAAGGGTAGTGTTTTCGTCTATTAACAGAACATGCTTCCTGTACAAACCAGAATTACCAGCTACCACTTATCCAATAAGGGGCCAGTACCTCAACTATTACATGCTTGTGAGTTTAATTCTGAATGTAAAATTCTTATGGTATTTCTTGCTGTTGACTTTCTTCCAGTTCTATGGTCGTCCCAAAACAGCTTGGACCTGATGATGGCTGCCCTTAAGTTATGAAGTCGTGACCATCGTAGCATTAGGCTGGGGATTTAATGTTGCAGGGTATGTGCCTGTTAAACAAGATTAGGATTTTGTGTAATATTTCAAAACCAAGAATCAATGACATTGTCAGAAATAGTCCATGAAGTGGACGGAATTGTGCTCGGTGCAAATGAAGGGTGAAGTTTTCAAAAGCATCCAGCCACATTCTCCCAATGAACGCAGTAGCAACAGATCTAGGCCAGTGAAGCTTGCTTTGAAAATACTACCTTAAGTGTAGAGAGGGCTTGACACCGTACCTGCTGTTTCCAATCTTTTACACTGGGAAGTGATGCAATGTAGCATGTAAGGCAAAGTTGATTATCCAGCTACACTTCAAACAGGCAAAAGTGATGGAAGTGTAAATATGCAGAAAGCTTTAATGTATCTGTGTTAAGTCACACAACCTACTTGAATCAAGGACACTAAACCACTGTTACTGGTTGTAGCTGGAAGGGTTTCTTTAGAGTCATGTTTCTTAACCTGAAGGAATTTTGTGTTTCAGATATGGCTATTATCCTTCCCGTGGGTTCTTATCACCCATACATTGTAAGACTGCTTGTAGTAACACAGTATGGCTGTTGTTGATGCAAGTTTCATTTAGGCTCTAGGACTTGAATTCAATAAATATTTACTTGTCTGCTTTGGATTTACTTTCTGAAGTTTTCACACACCATCTCATTCAAAAAGGAGTCACTGCACTAGATGTGCCTAGGACCAATGAACAGTGCAGGACTGACCTTAAGAATAGACATCACTGGTTTGAACTGAGTCACTCCTAGCTCTTTGACAGTGGGGTTTTTCTTAAACTAGCTCACACTTCCTCCCAGAATAGAGAAGTGATTTTTTCCCTCTTTTCCCCCCTCTGTACCTTTGTAATCAGGTTCTAGAGCTAGTTTCTGCTGTTAGAATCAGCGCTGCCCAGGAGTGGGTTGGTAGCTGTTGTCTCAGACTACTTCTGCCTTCTCAACTGGCTCTCCCAGTGAGCTTAAATTTTCACAATAAAGAAAGTAAACATAGCTATTAACAGAACAGCATGTTATATCAGATGTTCTTAATGCACTACTACATTAGGAAACTCTGTGAAATCCCTGGATTGAGTGTTAGTCTTAGCATTGGTAAGGACACTGCATGGAGCAAGATGGGGCATAAGTTGCAGAAATCCTAAGTACAAAGTTAGAGTTGCATCAGATTAGCGCAACTTTCCTGATGCTTGCTGTGGCACTGAAGATTTCAACCTCCGTAAAAACCTAATCTTGCCCTCATATGTATTATCCTTTTAATAATCACAAAATAGGAGCAACTTATCTAGTACTGTCACACTAAATGGCTGGTTACCCTTCCCTTCAAAACAGGCATTTGACCAACCTGTTAAATCCATTTATTTTTTGGAGTTGATTGCTACTGTTCCAGTGAAATGTGATGGAGCTGAAAGTTGGGTTCAGTTTTATTGGAAGATTCCCACATTGCTAGTGGAGACAAATTTTATATTACAGGGAGTTGGTATCTTGTCAGTTCAAACACTAGTAGCAGTTGCTCTTCTCTGCTTGCAGGAGTTCAAAAGTAAATCGTGACTTGAAGGAACTACCAACTATAAATCACAGGTGCTGAGTACATAGCATCTTGCACTGAAGCATCACACAGCAACTGCCAAAGGCAACTTAAAACAGCTGATCCAGATGGTTTAGATAACTGGTACAATGCATTCCATACTTATTGTACTGTCCAAGATTGGCACTATAACCCCATTAAATGAATGAAGTCTGACTAAGTCCAAGTCTGTTAGGAAAGGTTTGATGGTACAGTGCCAGTGGCAAATCTTCTAGTTGAGGTGCAGGTAACAGTTCCCCACATGAAATAAGCCATGCCAACAAAGGGACTTTGCCAGTATAAAAAGGTCACTACAAATTAACACCCCTAAGCAAAATCACTGTACCAGGAAGAGTTCCTAAGTATGCCTGGCCTTATGAAATACATCTTCATTTTATTCTGTAATTGCAACTGAGCACTATTCATTTCATATTGTCCCAGCATTGATTTGCTGTAAGCCCTCTGCCAGTTGGCAGTGGTGGCTTTTAGTTTTATGTTGTACAGGATTTCCTTCATTGCCTGCCAATGCCATTCCTGAAGGGGCAAACCATTTGATGGAGGCAGAATGAAGGAGAAGAAACAATTACCTGAATTTATAAGCAGCTTTCAATCTTATATACTTTTGTAATTTAAATGGCTGAGGACATTCATGCTCTGTAGTTAAGGAACCAGGCCACAGTGAATAAGTTGTTATAATTTATGTCCCTTACCTCATCCTCTTCTATAAAATAAGTTGAGACACACACTGGTATGTAACTTGCCAGACGATAACAGGAAAACTTAGAGGATCCATCTCATTTTTAAATATGCACCACCCCTCATTATATTGGTTACACAGACATGAATTCTCTATGCATTGTTTACAGTACCATCTTCCATGTACTTGTATTTGGCCCATATATCTCAAAGGCAAAATACTTTAAAAGCCTGTTTATTGCATAAGTAGCAGGCAATTTTATAACACTTAAAGGGTTGTACAATAACTTTATAGTAATACAGTAAACATTAAAGGCTAAATCATGAGTACTATATGGACAGAATTACACTGAAATACAAATTCATAAAAAGGCATTTTCACTTTCCTGTCCAGCATTTTTGTAGAAAAAGGGTTATATGTCTTTAAGTGCAAGGGAAAAAGTTATTTGAAAGTTGAGATCCAGCCACAAGAAAAAGCCCACATATTTTGTACCAAAAGTACTCCAAGTTCTTTAATGTGTAAGACTAGAACCCTATTTAGCAGACTCTACGGTGTTAATCTAAGGCTTGAGTATATCTACGGTACAATAAAACACCCCACTGGCCATTTTCAGCTCTGCAGGGCTACAAAATTGCAGTGTAGATATCTGGGCTAGAGCTGAACTCTAGGTTCTGGGACCTTGTCCTATGAGCCTGAGTGAGCCGATACAGTCCACACACAGATGTTTAACTGCATTGTAGATGTACCCTGAGCATCTACATCAGAGGTGGGCAAGACACCCTCCGCAGGCCAGATCTGGCACAACAAGCCAATTAATCTAGCCCATGGCCACCCTGCCATTCCCCTGCCCTCCCCTCCGCCCCAGGCCAATCAAGACCTGGGACCACAGCACCAGAGGGAACTGCCAGTTGTTTAGAACAGCTGGTAGATCACTCTACACACTGCACACCCCAGGCAGGATGGAGCAGGGAGTGAGAGACTTTGCACACTACCATGCCCCCCAGGTCCTGATTGACCCAGAGGTGAGGGGAGCACACAAAGTCTCCTCCTGACACCAGGGGTGGGTGGAGCCTAGAGGGAATTGCCAGCTGTTCATAACAGCTGCAGGTTCTTCTCTAGGCCAGTGTTTCCCAATTTTTTTTGGCCATGGAACTTTTCAGCTTAAAAGAATCTCAAGCAACCCCTAGGGTTGCCATGGTAAAATTTGTTTAAAAAAAAAAAAAAAACCCACCACAACAAAAACACACACCAGAATTGGTCGAGGGGCGGAAAAAAAGCCACAAAATAGACTCTGTCTTTAAGATGGGGTGGGGGAGTGCCACATTCTCACGGAACCCTTACTTTCGCTTCACGGAACCCCAGGGTTCCACAGAGCACCAACTGGGAAACACTGATCTAAGCACCATTTGCCCCTTGCAAAGTGGGAGCAGAGGGCAAAGATTTCACATGCTGCCCGCCCCAACTGGCCTGGAGGTGAGGGAACAAATGAAGTTTTTTCCCTGTCCTTTCATGGGCTGCATAGCGCCTAGAAGGAACTGGCAGCTGTTCAAGGCAGCTGTCTGTTTTCTCTAAGTGATGGGAGGCAAAGACCATGTGCTCCCCCACCCCCACACTATCAGAATTTGTGGGCAGGGAAGCACAGGAAGTATCTTGGCCCTGCCCCTTTTGGAGTGGCCCAGGACTACTTCAAAAATGTGTAAAGTGGCCACCCTTCACAAATTATTGCCTACCACAATCCAATCACTCAGCAGCATAGGAATGGCTGAATGATGGGTCCCATCTGGGGGTTTCAGCATCTACACTGCATTATGTGGGCCCAAGTCCTAGCATCTTCCAGAATGTGGCTATGCCAACCCTTTGTCCATGGTGCAGCGCGGGAAAATTTGACCATCCATCAAACTTGTGTCCAGAGGACAGTGAAAGTCAGTCTGTGAGATACTTTTGGCAGAATTCAGAGAACAAGTCAAGTGGGGCTGAGCCTACAATGCAAAGCAATGGGTCTTGAATACTAGGTCCTAACTTCACTCCACCTCCCCACGGTTCTGGAACCCTTGGCTAGCACAGTTTGTAGCACAGACGCACAGAGGGCAGGGGAGGAGAGAAGAGGTTTGAGTGAGTTCAAACCCAGGGCTTATAATAAGGTTTGGGGGCATGGAGTCTGCTTTCCTTCCAAGAGCCCTTTCCATAAAGTGCACCTCTATCCTATGGGCTTCTTGAAAGAAAGTACCATAATAATACAACTGTTGTACACCAGCTGTACAAAGTTGATATCCTTAAATAACATTTTAGGAGACATGACAGTACTTTGCTTCTCACACAGGATATGTAAATAACACATATAGTGATGTCTTAATGGAGACTAGCAAATAGCATGTTCATGTTCCTATTGTGCTGATTCAAAGTTCTTAAGTGAAGTTATTCTCTTTCATACAATACATTACACGTGGCTTAATTTTGGCAACAAGGTTTTAAAAATACTTTTCTACAATTCAAGTCACAGCTCTGTCTAAATGCATTTCCAGATGCTTAGAGTCAGTGCTAGATATGGAAGAAGGGGGCAGGATAAATTTATGAATGGAACTACAACAGGATTTTATCCTGCCTACTTTCTTTTAACCCCAAATAGTACAATTTGTTTAGAGACAGTTAATGACATCAGCTTTCAACAATATTATGGCACTTAGTGTTTATATATACATACAAACACAATTTTAAAAGGAATGACCCTCTGAAGGTTTACTTATTGTTTGTTAATCTAAAACACAGCAAATTTTTATCACAACCCCCCCCCCCCAACAACCTAAAGAATTGTGATTTAGCAAACCAAATACTGAAGACTCTCCTTTACAGAACCGTAGACAATAAAGTGTTTTTGAATCATACATTTATGTGAAAAATAGATGAATTTATATATTCAGACAAAACATTATTTGGTGACTTTTGATCGGTTTACCTATATTATCACACTTGAGAGTAACACAATGAGAAGACTAACACTGCAAACTGCATGTGTGTGGTCCTATGGCTTTTAGGGTCTCCAGAAGAAACGATGAATTGTAGAAGTATTTTATAACAAAGGAAGGTGGTTATCTTGTCGGAAAAACCACATCTTCAGAGTTCAAACTTCCTCATGTTTTTATATGTGTTTTACTACATATAATATCCAGAGCTTATATTGTCATTATCTGGTAGTTTAGCATCACTGGGAAATAGCTATGATACATGTTATTTTAGTTAGAAAAAAATTAAAAACTACAACTTATCTGTTTCCTCTTTGCATTCAGTCTTTATCGTCTCACTTCAACAACCAAAATAATTCATCTACTTCCTTTTAGCTCAGCTACAGGGAGTCACAAAAATGACCCTTTAAAAGTTCCCATTGCAAGGCCAAATTTTGCCCTGTGCAGTTTAACTCACTGCAAACATTAGTACTATACAGATGTCATTGAGTGCCTCCAAATCTTTATTACTGATGATTGTGTACGAATCAGACCAGATTACATTCAGATGTCAGGGGTGGTTATAGGAATGATTGTTAGATAAGAAAAACAATTACATATGAACAAATTTCTTGTAACCAGATTGGCACCGCTCAATCTCATTTTTACAGGTTCACTTTCAAGTAGAACAGCGCTTTAAATGACTATAAAAGAGGTCATTTAGCAGGCTTGAGGTAACATTTTTCAAAGAGCTTGACATAGGAGTTTTAAATCCACATTTTCAAAGGTGAGAGGCACTTCGCAACTCAAGTTTCACCTCTTTTTCAGTAAGACTTGGGCTTTGCAAGTATCTTATCTTTGAAAATGGGAACTTAGGTTATTTTGAAAATTTTACCCATGAAAATTTTACCAAGAACAGAAAATAAATACTGGGACAAAGATGGGGAAAACACTGAAGTAGGTGACTAGTATATGGGTAGTTGTGCATTGAGGATGACCCCTAAGGTAAAATGTAACTCTGAATATCATTTGCATGAGAGGTGCTATATAAAATGTGTATTTTGCACATTCTGATAAGGTGATGTGTAGATATGATGTACTGTGCTAGGCACAGCTTCTTTAGAACTAGCCCTCTTAGCTTCCATTGTAAAGAAATCACAAAACTCTTTAGTAAAGCTGCATCTAAAAGATATGAAACAATACTGCTGGAAATAAAACTGCCTTAAAGATGACAATGAAGTAGGAATAAATGCTGTGGAAAACTTCAGAATGAGTTAATCTGAGAAAGGAAAAAGATGGGTTTTAACCACTAATGCCCTTTCTAAAATAACATCATATCTATAGATCAGTGGCATAGTGACAACTAAAAAACTACTTATTTCATGCTTCCTTCCAAAACAGATCAAGTGGCAAAGACCCTGTATAGTTGATTAATAAGTTTGGATGCCCACTACTTCTACAGTTTTAGCAGATTAAGGATTTGTTATTGCACAACAGCAGATATGGAAAAATTAGAAACTTTGTATGCAATTCTCACAAAGACTATAAAACTTCATTCTGCTCAACAGTTACACCCCGGGAGCCTTCACAGTCCATTGTCCTGCTTAGAGAGTTTGTTATGCAAGGGAATTCACCATACAGAGCAGTTCAAGGATGTACAGACCAAAGGCAGCTTTTCTCCCCTTTGATATGCATATCTGACTTCAGATACACATATCAAAGGGCACTTGTGCTGCGCACACAATATCTGAAAGCAGAATAGAGCTCTAAGGAATCTCTGCTAAGAACCTCTGATACAATGTTGGTGAGATATGGCTCCATAGCTGTTTGCAACATACACTATATTCTGTAATTAAACTGGCAACAGGCACAAAAATAAGGCAGTAGGTTAAATTAATCTTTGAAAGTTCTGTTAGAAAACATGCAAAAATAATACTGAGTTTAAAAAAGTTCAACTTGCCCCCTTAGCTGTCTGGTACAAATCTGAAAAGTTACGTGTCTAAATTTAAACTCCAATCTCTAAAAACCCCAAACTTCCATCCTACCCCACCCCAGACTCAGTTATTATTCTCTTTGGTTGTGATGGTGACCAGTTGTTTAGCAGCCTTGGCAATGTCATATGCACACTGAATCACTTGCTGAGTGACCAGCTGGATGTCCGTGGTAGGGCAGGTTTCTATGGGCAGGGTTTTTTTGCATTCAGACAGGAGTCTGTAGGCACTAGAAGTCAGCAGGCGTAGCGATGTTCTTACCAGCTCAGATTTAGGTTTCTAGGAAGGGAAAAGCAAACAAAGCGTGAGCCAACTAGCATGGATTATACACAATGGTTTTAGGAGGACTTTGAATCAGTGAGAGTTACTGTTTGTTTGCAAATGCTCTAATACTGTAGCAAGGTGGCCTGGGCTCAGTAGCTTTTTCCTTACCAAAGGTCAGAAAAGGAAAGGCTTGTAGGGAATCCTCTGGCAAGGAAAGACACTGGGCAGAAGCACACCTTCTGGAATTCACTAAGACCCACACACAGAATTATTTGCTCTCAGGAAGCTGCCTATTAAAAGACCTGAAAAGTGGACTAAGGATGACCACCTCCATCCATGTGAGTCATGAAATGACTGGTTAAACAAAGTTCTAGTATAGCTTATAGCTGTTCAAACAAGGTGCAAGTTTCTTTGGCTTATGAGAACTGTAGACATATACATTCTTTTTGCACCTCAACCAACCTGTGAGCAATGCTCCCTCTAATCTTTTCCATCCACGTGCACATTTTTTCCATCCGTGTGAGGAATAAATGTTTCTACATGCACCAAGGCATGTGCAAATGTGCTTCCCCAGTAGAAACAAAAAAATAACCGTTGGCACTCTGCTAATCAGTTAGATGGCAGGTGAATCTTTCCTGAGCACAAGTGCACAACGTACAGGGAATACGGTCTGTGAGTCCTGCTGTACCAGCTAACCTTACCCACTTAGTATGGTAGCAAATACAAAGATGCAAGGTCCAACCAAGATATCTGTCTTGATGACAGTAACATTCCTCCCCTCCTATCTATTCATCTTTTGCTTTCTGTTCATTGCAGAAAACCCTAAACCCAGGGAGGAAGCCCTCCAAAATAAAAAGGAGTGAAAGCTTAGGAAGTCTAAACTTCCTTATTGATTTTAATTGAGTTTTAATTCATTGTATCAGCATCCTTTCAGAGGTTCTTCTTTCACAACATGTTAAAGATTAGTGAGACTGAGAGCAGAATACTTTTGAGAAACATTGCCACTGTTGAAGAAATAAAGCTACTCACTTTTGGGAACAAGGCTGCCATTTCTGTTACTGCCACATGTATTCTTTCCGAGCATGGTATATAACTGCAAGATGCAAAAAAATTATTCAAAAGCAGCAAAAACATTTAATTTTCTTGAAGTTCAATCAGTTAGTGCCTTTCTCCAAAAGCAAACCAGTTAACAGATCGGCATAGGATTTTAGCACAGCCTCCAAACACAATGGTAGCAAACTCTGCAACACACTAAGTGTGATGAAGTTTCCCATTGAAACATTCATTAGTAAATTATGTTCAAATCCATGTTTCAACCACACTGTACTACGAACAACCCCAGAAAAAAGCAAGAACTTCACAGCTGATGGAAGATTCGTTGCATTAGGTAAACCAAAGTTTTAAGCTATTCTTGGATTAATAGTTTGTGGGGGAAAGTGTAATGGGTTGCTTACACTATCCTGTCAGATATTAATATCCTGATTTATAATCAAGTATGGAAATACATGCTTACAAATGTGAAAGTTCCCATTAGTGTAGATGACTGACATTTCCATATCCCTACAGCAGGGCTATTCAACATGCAGCCAGCCACGAGTGGGAGCCAAAATAAAATAGTAGGCAATATAATGGTCTTCTGTTGCTATGCATTTTAGTAGTTAAATTCTTGGACCTTCATTGCTTATTAAAAGTGCTGTTTTATGGGTGGAAATCAGGTAAATATTGCATTTTATTATTATTATCAGCAGAAATGACTTAAATGGGGCCTGCATGTTGTGTAGTCTTGCCTTAATCGTTATATTCATGCCCATCAATGTGAAAGAAGCTATTTTCATATATATATATTTCCATGTCTATGCAACCACACTTAAGTTGTGACCCTCTGCATGTGCTGTGAGTATCACTGTGGCCCCTAGGGCTTCCAAAGTTGAGTAGCTCTGCCCTACAGTAATGATGTGTACATCTGAACTCCAGAGTTTGCTCTGGATTTCCATAGAAGAAGCACAACATGTCTGAGAAAAATTTATCAGCCTGATCAAAATGGGGTGTGGGTGGGTATGGATAAAAATGGCCAGAAGACAATTTTGGGCACAAAAGAGAAGTCTCAGATTATGCAGTTTAAAGGTTATTTTAACTGGAGATATCAGGATTGCATGAGTGTTTTAAGATCACAGAAGGACTCTCAGATCCCAGCCTGAGTATGTAATAGGTACAGGAACTAGAAGTGCAGGCGCACAGTTGCTGGCACCCCCGCATCCCGAGTCCCAGCTGTCATCCTTGGGATTCCACTCCTGGTTCCACACCTGCCCCCAATTAGGAGGGCTGGCTTTCAGCATCCCCCCATTATTCAAATGTTTCCATACCATTGGCTGAGTGTGCAGGACTGGCAGTAAAAAACAAACCCAAAACACATCCTTGTGCATGCAGGCTGACATCAGATTTAATCTGCTCTCATTTTAAGAACGAAATTTTCTGAACAGGCCCAAAGTACTATGAAACCAGACTTCAGCAAAAAAGAAAAGAACATAAGCTACCAAGTCAAAGATCTATGCTGACTTAGATGTACACTAGCCTTGCAAATGCAACTGAAAAATCTTTTAAAAAATTATTTTATTTAAATGTTTAAGTTTTACACAAATACAATTTTGTCAACAATTTGGGATAATCAGCGTTACAGATGAGACCTATTAGTTTACCATGTCCATATTCTGGTAGCTGGGGCAGACTACTTTCCTACAGATGATCTTCTGTGGTTACGTTTATGACATTCAGCTTCTCCAAAAATGACTGCTATTTATTAACACATCAAACCTCCATAAAGCTATTTTTAAACACTCAGCAGCAATATCTAAGGTGTATGACTACAACAGCATTTTCACCAGTAATCTCCCAACTGAGCTTTGAAACACACAGAGTAAATATTAATCACAAGCTGGGAAACTGAAAGTGCACAGTATATTGTAGAATTATTGCAGATATCCAGGTCCCAGGATGTTAGAAAGACAAGGTGGGTAAGCTGATATTTTTTACTGGACCAGCTTCTGTTGGCAAGAGAGACAAGTTTTTGATCTAAACAGAGCTTTTCTTCAGGTGATGGAAGATAAAAGATCCAATAAAAATTATTACCACGCCACCGTATCTCTTGGATATCCAGGGATTACCATACAATATATTGAGACACCCCATTTCAGGTAGAGTGGCCAGTTAACACCTCTGTAATCATAGGACAAAAAAGTGGGATTAGTTGGTTATGGATTGTTGAAATAAGCCATAAATTCAGTGTCTTAAAGACCATGATCTGTAGTGTCTAGCAAAGTTATTAATTTCTCGGTCTCATCTTTTGATGTTACACAGGCTTCCTTTGAGAAGAAGACAGAAGTCAGATATAGAGAGAGCATTCTGTGAACAGTGTTCTTCCCTGAGTGTTGTGAGGACTTTGTTTTATTTTCTGTGAGAGTTCATTTTAGGGATGCAATAGAGTAGTTGAATAATAGACTACTCACATCCCCCTTTTGCTGCCTCTATGTCAGAGGCAGGAAGGGTTCAGAGGCAGCTGGGGGGAGGGACGCAGAAGCTGGTTTTAGGGGGAGCTGGCTTGAAAGCTGGTTCCCCTCAACACCATCTCACTGGTGTGGGCTGAGGTGGTGAGATGGACAAGGGAGGCAGAGGCACAGCGGGGAACCTGGTAAAAGTGGGGATTGCTTCAGTCCCTGTTCACACTAGGTCCCAAGTGCTGTGCCTCTCTCTGCCTTTGAAATGTAGCAAGAGCAGCCCTAGGATAGTGAGCAGAGATAGCAAGCACCCTCCTCCACTCTTACTGACTAATAGAGTAACCGACGGAAATTCCATCAGCTTCTTGATTAGCTGATTAATTGAAATTTAATATCCCTAGTTCATCTGAGGAAGTTGTGATTTGTCTGGTTCACCACATATTTGTTATTGGAGCATGTAATGCACGTGTTGAGATATACCACATGTTGCATGGACAGGACCTGTATATCTTGAAACATGTGTTGTGGGGGATATTGAATGGTCTCTTAGAATATATATGTTAATTACTTATGCTAAGCAATCAGTTTCACCTTGCATTTAGCTGTAAAGCTGAGTATCTCTCTCAGACCGGAAGAGCTCTGTGTAGCTTGAAAGCTTGTCTCTTTTACCAATAGAAGTTGGTCTTATAAAAGTAATTATATCCCTTACCTTGTCTCTCTAGTATGTAGTATATACAATCTCAACTCATATCACTTGTCATGGCTTCCCAGGGTCAAAGGTTAACCCTTGGAGCATTCTCTAGCTGAAGACAGGGCCAGGAAATAATTCACTTCAGAGAACATTTATTTCCATACTTGACAGTCCATCATGAACATTAGGCTTCAATGCAATACTGTTTGATGGTAAATTTTCCCCATTCTTCACTGCATAAATCAAAGGTTACCAACTTACAGAGAAGCTGTTATGTCACTCCTACTTCCTATTCAGGATGCATGCCTCACTTTTTTGGTGAAGTGTAACTATAAGACTGCAAAACAGCATCTAAGAAGAATGCCAGGTGAATTTAGACACTGTTGAACACTCACTACACCCCACCATGAAGGGACAGCAACTTGTAAAGAACACGCATTTCAACAAGATTAATGTTTACTTTTAGAATGCATAAAGTTAAGGCTAAACTTTCAACTGTTCTGTTTAACAGAACTATCACATGACAACCAAAATAGGTAGATTTTAGGAATCCTTACATATTCTACATTAGACCCTGACAAAATATTTAAAAATTAGAATCAAAATTGATCTATGTAAAGTTACCTGAAGCCTCTAAGAAGTTTAGCCTGCTTTCCAATGTCTAATTTTAAAGCCTTTCCAAATACTCCATTTATGCTAATAATCTGCAGAGTAGTTAGTATAATTCAGAGCTAAAGCCAGTTTAGTTAAAATTAGTTTGTTAGGCAAAGCCACTCAAAATAATATTTTTCTTTAGCATAATCTCAATTCTAGATCTAAAAATCATAATCATCTTATTCAGTTAACTTGCAATTCTGAACATGCAAAAACCATGTCAATTATAGATACATCAATAAGGAAAGCAACACACTTAAGGGTCATTTGAGTTATGCAGGAAAGTTGCTATAAAAGGGGGACATGTCGATAGTCTATGGCTAGGTCTAAACTGGTTGAGAAAACTGATGTAAGATACGCAACTCCAGTTACGTGAATTGAGTAGCTGGAGTAGATGTACCTTGCATTGATTTTCTGGGGCAGCCCCACACGGGGAAGTCAACAGAAGAAACTCTCCCGCTAATGTCCCTCACTCCTTGTGACAGCAAGGGCACACTGTGTTCAATTTAGCTGGTTTAGCATTGATCCTCCTGCAAGTGGAGGTGTAGCTTCAGTGTTGCATTCCCAGGACCTCTTCCAAACAAAATAAGACTTTCCACCATCACTAGCTTTTTGCCAAATGTGCACAGTAGTAATCCCTGTTCTACTAGAAAGGAGGGTAGAATTAATAATCAATTTACTCTCCATGAACTACATTGAATGCTCAAGGCAAGACAGAGGACGTGCACTGTTTGTGCCAGGGACAACTAGCGTTAAAAAAGTAGCCATATAACCACCAAAAAACCTAGTGGGAGTAAAGCCGGTCTGATTCTGAACCCAGTTGAGCCCCATCTCAAGGACCACAGAGGGGCTGTCCAAAATGGCACGTGACTGGTTTTGAGAGGAACCATCCCAGGAGGTTCGATGCTGGGAAGGGAACCGTCCTGCAAGGTGCAGTGCAATGGTACTGGGGAACACTGCCTCATCATAGCTGGCTTGCCTCAGCAGAGTGCTTGAGGGCCTGCAGAAGACACTTCCACTTGTGGCTCTGGAGATAGTCCAGTATCCTGAGGGTATCAGCTCAGTAAGGTCCCTGGCAGTTCCAAGTCCCCCCTCTGACTATCCTGCATGGGGGAGTCCACAGGAACTGGACTCAACGGTCCTTGTTGCAGTGCAAGACAAGGGTGCCAGTTACTCCCTTGGTACCGTGGAATGTCCTTTGGGCCTGTCAGTTTTAGTCATGGATGACCTGCCCCTCTTTGGCTGCTTCTGACATTTATATGGCACTGTAGGGTGATAACGGCGCTGGGATGCTGTTCCTGAGTTGTGTTGAGGCATGTTGACTTCAGTGTTGAGGCATCTTCCAGGCAGAGTCCTTCTGTGGTGACATGCTGCCCACACTGAGAATGGTACGTTCCGCATGGATGAGGGACGTGTCTGTGACAGCCATGGCTGAGTTGGTTGAGGGTGAAGGGCTGACTCCATGAGAAGGAATTTAAGTCTAAAGTCCCTCTCTTTCCTGTTTTGTGGGCAAAAGCCTTTGCAGATCTTGCATTTATCAGTATGATATGCTTTCCCCATGCACTTAAAGCAAGAGTCGTGGGGAGTCCCCTTTGGACTTAGGCTCTGGCATGAAGCACTTGGGACCAAGGCATGCCCTGGTTCCCTGAAAAGGGGAGAAGAAACTACTTCCTACTAACAAAGAACTATTTACACTAAGAATTCTTGACTACTTAAGCATCAACTATTTAAACTATGAACACTAAAGGCTAGGGAAAACCCTTGCTTGAGGCTAAAGAAGAAAAACTCCAAGTCCCTGGCAGTAAGAAGGAAATGAGTGGGAGGAAGGTTGGCAGTGGACTATATACACAGCGCATAATGTTGCCTCTCCAGGGGTCTGCAGCCAACCAGCAGATACTGCTAGGGGAAAAACCTTCCAACAACTGTGCACATGGCACATGCACACCTACTTGGAATGGACACGAGCCATCACTCGTACAGACTGTTACTAGATCAAAAGAATAAATGTTGTGCATTTATAGGTAATGCAAATAATGCTGTTTCTGCAGTAACAGCACATGGACACTGCAACAACAAATTATGTCATCAAGAATCAGTTGCAAATTATTTGGATAGACAATTATCAGAATAGATACACAAGCTAGGGGTGTCAGAAGGAAACCTCAAGATGGTTAGCTGTACTCCTAAGCCCTGACCCTGTTCTCAGTGATGTCAACAATAAACAGGACTATGTAGCACTTTAAAGACTAACAAGATGGTTTATTAGATGATGAGCTTTCGTGGGCCAGACCCATTTCCTCAGATCAAATAATGGAAGAAAATAGTCACAACCATATATACCAAAGGATACAATTTTTAAAAAAATGAACACACATGAAAAGGACAAATCACATTACAGAAGGGGTATGTGGGGTGGGCGGGGGGGGGAGGAAGGTGAATGCCTGTGAGTTAATGATATTAGAGGTGGGGAAGGGGAAATGTCTGTGAGCTAACAGTATTAGAGGTGATAATTGGGGAAGCTATCTTTGTAATGGGTGAGATAATTGGAGTCTTTGTTAATTCCCCTGCGGAGAGTGTCGAATTTTAGCATGAATGCCAGTTCAGAGGATTCCAACAATAAAAGCACCTATTAACTTCATAGGGCATAGGAATGGTCCCATAACTCTTCGTACTTGTTACCTATACGTTTTCTTATCATTTATGGCCTTTCATGCATAACCTCTAACCACCACTTTGTTGAACGTGCATGAGGGGAAGAAGGCAGCAGAGAAAAAGAGAAAGGACACTGTGCCTGGAAGGCAGGGACAGAGGCCAGAGTACCAGGAAGTAGAATCAGGCTGCTGGAGGGTCAAAGGCTGTAGGGGAGCTCTCTCAGCCCATGGAACCAGTGTACTGAAACAGCCAAGGCTATGTCTGAGCTTAAGTGTGCTTGCACGCTCTAATGGTCTATTTAGACAGATGAGAAAAAGGAGCAAAAGAGAATGAGAAAAAGGAAGGAGTTACATTAGGATGATGGAAGAACATTTAACATTCATGCCCAGATTACCCATATTGCAAGTCATTTTTATTTACAATACTCCTGACAAAAGTTTGGAAGCTCTCTCATTATAGTTCTTAGAAATTCGATTATACAAAAACATATTTGACGGGACTTCTCTGAATGGAATTAAATCGAATATATTTATTGCATTATTTTCCCATATAGCTTGTCCTCTGCTATGTGACACATCGAGCAGTAACACATCTGAGGCAAAGTCATGCAATACAATACTGCATTTTGTTCATGGCTAAGAGCTTTGGAGGGTCATGTTCACAGTAATCAATGTGTTCATTTTTGGCATAGAAGAAACACTGCTTTAATAACCAATCATGTTCCTTCTCTTCAATATCTTAATGCCTTCACACCAATATCTTTTTTTATAGCAAAAGGACAAAAATGTCTTTTTGTAAGGCTAATAATTATTTCCACATTCCTTTCTCTTATTTGCATTTATGAATTGAATTTGTTTTATTTGCAGATCTAAAGAGATACACATCTCTGGTGTACAAAAATACTCCCTTAACTTGAAGCACAAGAACACACACACACCACACCCTTAACTTGAAGCACAAGAAAACACAAGGAAAGAGAAAAGTATTATTTTCTAAGTATTCTCATTCAATGTAAGCTTGGGAAAATGTGTTGTGGGTTCTTCCTTCTACATGATTTTACGGTGCATCAAGTATTATTACTGGTAAAATATACAAATAATCATTATGCTTATTTTAAATTTTATTTTTTACTGTAGCACCCTTCTGCATGAACCCTGGGAGCAAGTAACAAGTATGGTTATGAAAGGGACTAAGTCTTAATTTTGACTCAAGTGAGCTGAGTCAGAAAAGGCATTCTGACTTCTCCACCCAGGATCTAAAAGGAATGCATTTCCCTCCTAATCAAAGGAAAATACAAAGTTAATAAGCATGGGAGAAACAGAAGTGCCCCCCTCCCCTGAATGCACCTGTTCCCCATTTTTCTCAATTATGAGGTAAGGAGCTCATAAACTGAACTACAAGAGATGACGATTTCACACAAGTTGTTAGCTGGCTTCACGGGTAATGTGTTGTACAGCCCTTCAGCTCCGAAGCTGTGACTAGAGTTCTAATCTGAGAACTGCCTCAGGGCAAGATAATTTTATTAGAACCTAGGACTATTTAGTGCAAACATGGAATGCACAGCCATGCACTATGAAATACCTGCCATTGTATACTTATAAAAAAACTACTTAGGAGAATCACCTGCTGCTTATGTACCACAAAGAATCATTACCAACAACTCAGGTCAAAGTGCATGAGGGGGAAGCGCAGGCTGAGTACTACTCTGATGTTCAGGTAAATAGGCCCCTTTGATTTTTGGCACTGGCAAACTTGAGAAAAGTTTATCTAGTTCTTGGCTCTACCAAGATTTCAGAATAACTATAGCTGATGGCTTATCTACTGCTGTGAAAACAGACTATAGGAGGCTATGACTACGGTCCTACCAAATTCATCATTTATTTTGGTCAATCTCACAGCAAGAGGGATTTTAAATTAGTCAATTTCACATTTTCAGATGTTTACATTGAAATTTCAGCATGTTGTAGCCGTGAGGGTCCTGACCCAAAAGAAGGGTGGGGAAGAGAGGAGTCACAAAGCAGTTGTAGTGAGGTCATGGGATTACCACCCTCACTTCTGTGCTGTGCTGAAGCTCTCCTGCAAGAGGAGGAGGTACCTAGGAGTAGGTATGAACCCTGCCAGCAGCCATGCAGGGAAAGAAGTACTCCTGTCCCTCCCAGCCTGGCCAACACTAGCAGTCCCCATCTGGGGTGATCCCAGCAGCACAGGAGAGATTAGACCCACTTCCACCTCTCCCAGAGGCAGTGCAGTCATGGAGCTTCCTGCAGCTGAGAGGGGCATCCAGAAGCGACGCTGCTCAGCCGCTGAGAATATCCATGCGGGGGAAGAGGAAATTCCATCTCTCCTCAGCCTGGCAGACTAGCAACTGGAAACTGGTGTATGGTAGGAACTCCCACCTGGGGCACCCATAGCCCTTTTCCTCCCACCCTTCAACAGGTATATTTCATCAGGGAGGTCTGATTTCATGATCCAGGATGTGTTTTCACAGCTGTGAATTTGGTAGGAACCTAACTATTAAAGAACATCACAATTATATACAAACCCCAAACCATCTACAGTGTAAGGGCCAAATTGTTACTGCTTGCAGCTGTTTCACAAAGGTTACACTCAATTACTGCCAAATGTTTCCTTCTAGGGGCTCCAATCTATATATCCCACCTAGTTCAAGATCCCTGGGTAAAAACCACTTGGTCCCAGGGACTCTGCAGTGGTCCCTTGACCTCTGCTTTATTGGGAGCCATCTCCCAACACTCCCATTTGCCTGTACTGCTTCTTACTTTAGGTGGAGGGTGAGACACTGCTCCCACAGAAAAGCTGTCCTTTCTCCCTCTCAGCCAGTGGGGGATCTTCCACTGTGGAAATGCTGGTAAAGCTGCTTGTGTGGATCCAGGTGGGAGGAACATGTTTGGAGATGCATTGTGCCCCGAGCCCCAGTAACATCTGTTGCTCTCTTCAACCAAGGGAGCACACAACCATCAGTGATTCATTTATGTGAAATTAAAGTTTCTACACTTGGAAGCATTTTATTAGGCTTTCTAACCTTGGAAATTCCAGAGCACTTAAGACTCCACTTCTTACCTGTCGTGCTTATTCTCTTGCGCTGCTCGCAGCAGCTCTTGGATATTTTTAGTGATCTGTTCCGTTTTTCGTATAACATCTTCTGTACTGGGCAAAGTGGAACTTGGGGTTGCATCTAGGTCTGAGTTCTCGGGGATAGACCCTTCCCCCTGCCAAATGATACTTCTCTGCCTTCCTTTCTTACCAGGCCTGGAAAACAAAGAAGAATGTTGAAGTGGTCATGGTAGGAGAGAGCAGTTTTTATTAGCATTTAATAAGACTTGTATATCTTCAGATACTACACAGACAGACATTAGCTCATTCAGGTAGTATGACATACCCCGTCTCATCCAGCTCCGAACTGGGAGTGGGGTTGTCATAGTCACTTTCAGGCATGCTATTCTGCTTCTCTAACTTCGGTGCCTACAGAGAATAAAGAAGTGTTTAAGGATAGTACCTAAAAAGAGAGTCAAGAACTTTGCCAGGGAAATTTTCCCTGCGTAAATTAGTTTGTTCTCTTTGCACAAGAGTTCATTTAAGTCCTACATTACTTTATAAGCTCAAGCTGTCATGGCTACTAGTCACTGTTCTGTGCGGTGTTACACCCCCTCATGCATTTTAGGCTAAGATCTCAGGGCCTGAGATTTTGTTAATTTCTATTACTGACAGCTGTCACATGTTTTGTAGGCTTACATATGCAGTAGACGACTTAGATACCATAGGTTATTCCTCCGTTTCATCTAAAAAAAAAAGTTACTTGCCTAGCTAGTTATTCCTTCTTTAGTAAATAGTTTCTTCCTAAAGTACACTGTGCATTTTATTTTTAAAATATATTTTGTACCTCAATATATTAGGGAATGTTCTTCCCCAACCATTACAAGCTGATCAGCTTTACAATACAGAGGTTCTGTTTCTTTAACATCATAACCCAACATCTTCCTTTCACTATGAAACTTTGCCTCCATTCCCATGGTATTCACAAGTGGCAGCACAAATTTATTTTAGGATTAATTCTGGAATCTGACAGCCCTCCTGTTGCAAATGACTGAGCAAATATGTTTTTGCAGAAGCCTCGAGTGGGAAAATGGAATTTGCTCAAGTCCCTGACAACCACAAGTCTAAAGTCTTCCAATTCAATGTATGACCAATGTATGGGCAAAAGTGAGACATCACCTAATTACTGCTTTATTGGTTACAGTTGCCTTGAAATGTCCTTCATATGAGGCACTTTGCATACTTTTTCCTGAGCAGAAGACAGTAATAACCAAGCATACTTGGGATTTGTACTCTTTGAGATGCCATCATGTAGCCCCTACACTCAGGAAGTTTCTCTCATTACATTTCATGTAATCTTTCAGGTAACAAGTTATTCTACCACTTTGGTGAGCTCTCATATAGTTTATACCCAGGCAAAATGGTACCCTAATGTCTTTTGTTCTAAGTATCCCACAACCACACCAACCAGTTTGCAACTTGAGATTTTAAAATAATTCCAAAATACTGTCATGGGACTGGAAAACATGTTGCCCAACCAAGCAAGGACAGCGCACTCTGGAGCACTATTCTTCCTCTCTCAAGCAGCAGCTCTGCTTTACTTAATTCTCCTTTCCTGGGGCTGAAACCAAAGAACAGCGCAGGCGCACCAACTTGCCAGTTCCTCCCAGTGGTGCCTGGGCCAGAGCATGCTATATTAGTATGTGTCCTTTTTCTAGAGGACAGACCATTATACCCTTATGACCCTCAAACATGTTACATTAATGTTTATTAATTAATAATGAAGGTTGGTCTATTAATGCACACTGTACATCCTGGAATTGAAGTAAGACCAACAATGCCATGGAATTTCTTCGTTTCCAGTCATATTAATCTGCCACTGATCTGTATTAGAAAAACAGTGAGAATCAAGGGACTCTTCAGTGTCGGATATTAAAGGAAGGCTTGAAGAAGCATGCTTAACACATGCACTTTCTATTATAACAGGCACAAATGAGACTAAGACTGATGGACAAACACTTTCTATTATTCTCATTTACAGAGGTGCCCCCATGTACTAAGAGCTTTGCAATCATTAAAGGGTAGTTTCTGCTCTGAACAACAGAAGCTAAAGCATTTCTATACAATTTATAGCTACCTTACCTAAAAAGAAACCTATATTATGATGTTCTTTTGATTATTACTCTACTCTAGTAAGGTAACTAGAGAAGACAGAATCTGAAAAAATGCTAGGCATACTCTGACAATATAAAGCTGTATGTAAAGCCATTTATATGGCATTTATCAATCAGTTGGTACTCAGATAGAAACTGTTTTGCTAAGTGGCAAAGCTGAACATCCTGGTCACAAATAAAAACATACAGTTAAACCCCAGAACTCTGCTTGAGTAATTGATTGAGAGATGTGTAAGACAGAATTACAAATGCTCGAATCCAAGCAAATTTTAAGTTCAAGTTACAAATCAATTGTATCCAAATTAGCAATCTGCACTGTATCATGATGGATGACAGTCACTTAAAGATTTGTCATCTCCATGTAAATCAAAGTATTTTTCAGACTGGGCAGAGATCACCACACCATTTGTAGTCAGATTAATTTGTGATCTGAGATTTTAAAGAGGGACTATCAAGCTGAAGAAAACAAGTATCTGTTTTAAAAAAAAGTACCTGAAAGGCAAATAAATCCCTAAAATCATGATACACAAATGTCTCTTTTTCTCTCAGTTCAACTGTTAAATAATAAAGCTTGACTTGAGTTACTGTATAGCTGCCAAATGAAGTGACTAATACAGCATCAGCAACATGATTGTGATTTTACTGAGGTATCAGATACATGGAAGAGTTGGGCTAAAAAGAGAAAGGAGATTTTTTAAAAAGAAAGGTATCTCTCCAAACAAATTTAAAAAGCCACATTTTAAAAAGTCATCTATGAATATTTTTCTCCTTTATTTTGCTCCTGTGAAAGTCCCGCTTTAATGATAAAAAGTGAAACTTAAATCGATAACACACAATATTATAAAATGGGTTCTGTCAAGTTACAATCAATATGTTTGTATAAAACAGGCATAAAAGTACAGCAAGAACACAAAGGTTCTAAGAAAGATAAAGCTATGATAATTAAATCCAATCCATTAAAGACATTTAATGACTATGGATCCAAGGTGCAGATGAGAAATGCAATTCATTCGCTGTTATGGTCCAAGGAGATTCAGCTATCATTCACTATGCAAATATTTCATCTTGCTCAAAGAGTGGGTAAAAGACATCCATTTTCAAATTATAAATTATTCTGAAATATGCTGAATAAACATGTGTAGCAAGAATCTATTTGTAAAAAGCACTGTTCTTTGACAATGGTTAGCTGGTTGATGGGGCTGGTTCACATAGTATTATTAGAATATACATGTGTAGCAAGAATCTATTTGTAAAAAGCACTGTTCTTTGACAATGGTTAGCTGGTTGATGGGGCTGGTTCACATAGTATTATTCTGCAATTATTTGGATACACAAGATCCCACACAAAAGGTTAAGTCTTTAAAATAGAAATCAGGTCTAACTAATGTACTGTATCAAATTGTTCCATTAGTCAATCATCCCTAACACCTTACTGTTTTGTTGTAATGAGGATACTTCATTCTGTGCATCTATTAATTGTCCTTACATTGGGTTGGACTGAAGGCTGCAGAGGAACAGTGTACAACATGAAAGAGAATATAGCCTATTTATCAATTTCACATGTCAGTGGTTTCATAAAAAGGCGCATAATGCCCTTGAATCCTGCAGTTCTGTAGTTCAGAACCACAACTGTTCATCCATGCGGTAGAAACAATGCAAACAGAGTAGTCTTTGGAATGCCATAGACTTTTATAGTGCAATTCATATCTCATAATGCATTGTTAAATCAGTGTGGGGCTTCTGTAAGATCCTACATTGTGCCATCAATGTTCTTTAACTGTGACCTAAAAGCAGCATTGCTAAGAATGAGTTCAGTCTCCAGGCCTATTCAATCCTTAACCTCTTTCAATTCCACCTGTAAAAGGGCTATGTAATATAAAATTAAGTGATATAACTGGTTAAATTCATTTCAAACTGTCTACTGAACAGCAGTCAAAACGTAACATCTCTGTCCATAAGTACTAACCTGGACTGGATGCAAAGTACTGACTTCTAGAGGTAACAGGCTTCATAGCTTTTACTAACCCTTTGAGCATACCTTTGTCCCATGCAATGCATTTTAGTCAGCAGAAATAAAGTATGTACTGGCTCATGAAATATCAGTAAGTGCCTGCTAAATTACTTTTCTTCAGCAATCAATCCATTTTCAATAACATAACATGTAATAAGTGATTTGGAGCAATATGTGCATGGTGTTAAATGCTACAGGTATTTTAGTTGGTGGGAAATTAGACAAGAATGAAGCAAGTGTATCCATAGTTTGTGGCAGAAGAAACTGAAAGTGATGAAGTGCTGCTTCATGCAAGGATGAAGACAAGTTAGCAGATAAAGGGGAAAGGCCAGACGGGCAAAGCTTCCAAGGAGATGGCTACCTCCTCCAAGTAACAGACCAATTCAGAAGGTACTTAACCCTTCGTGTGCTTTCATCCCTTGACCAGGAAAGCGTGGAGGGGAAGGAAGGCAGAGATGAAGAGGAGGTCACAAACGTACTCCTAAAAAAAAAGGGGGGGGGGGGAGGGAAGGGAAGAGAAACACTTGGGAAAACAAAAACCCCACAAATAATCTGAAAATAGCTTTTAAACAAATACGTGCATTTTTAAAATTGGAAAATCAAACCGGTGACGTGGCCAGTGACAGAGAAAATTGACCAAGCTAGACTGGACTTGCAACTCCTGCAAAACACTCTTGACTTCAAGCTAATTCTGGTATTCATATTAAAAGGTGTTGAATCCCAAAGTGAAAAAATACATTCACAAAAATGTGATGTTAAAATTCTGCGTCTCCAAAGATGCTCATTTAACTAATATCTCCCACTAGGATTGAGTAAAAAGATTTTATTAAAGGGGAAAAAAGTGCGTTTCTGTAACCAAGTTTCACAGGAAAGCAAGCAATGCTTTAGAACTGTTAATTCTAAACCAGCAAGACATCATCAAATGAGAAGTTTCAGGAACCTATGAAGATTTCTTACAATTTGTATAAATTGCTTTGTACAAAAAAGAGTTCTGTCATTTCTTGCTGTGGGAACAGCCTTTATTTATACTGAAATCTTCCATAGCAAGTTAACATAATCTACAATGATTTAGCTTTTATCATTAGCATTTTATCCCTTAATAAAACTAGCATTTTATTATTTCCAGCACTTTGAGACATCCCAGACTTGTTCATCAGATTGAAACACATCCAAGATTGTGACACTGTCAGATAGTTCAGCAAAACCAAAAAAATCCTTCTTATAAAATAGTTCAGATATCCACG